TCCACCTGCCTCAGCCTCCCAAAGTGCTGGGATTACAGGCATGAACCACCGTGCCCAGCCCTTTATGAGATAACTCTTATTCCCATTTTATAGGGAAAGATACTGATGTGATGGAGCTAAGATTTAGTCCAAGGTCTATCTCTAATGGAAGAAGCATCTTTTTTTTTTTTTTTTTTTGAGACAGAGTTTCGCTCTTGTTACCCAGGCTGGAGTGCAATGGCGCAATCTCGGCTCACCGCAACCTCCGCCTCCTGGGTTCAGGCAATTCTCCTGCCTCAGCCTCCCGAGTAGCTGGGATTACAGGCACGCGCCACCATGCCCAGCTAATTTTCCGTATTTTTAGTAGAGACGGGGTTTCACCATGTTGACTAGGATGGTCTTGATCTGTTGACCTTGTGATCCACCCGCCTCGGCCTCCCAAAGCGCTAGGATGGAAGAAACATCTTTTGGTGCACCTTATTCATAGGCAGGCAACCCTCTACTCTGCCCAGGAGAGGTGGTCATGTGTACTTGGAGGGGATGGGTGGTGAATAAGTATAATCCCATATCCTAATCTCAAACCGGAGACATGCAAACACAAAGATCTTGATTTCAGAAGAATCCATGCAGGGCGCGGTGGCTCACGGCTGTATTTCCAACACTTTGGGAGGCCAAGAAGGCCTCATGAGTTCCAGACCGGCCTGGGAAACCTGCTGAAACCCCATCTCTACTAAAAATACTAAAAATTAGCTGGGGGTGGTGGCACACAACTGTAATCCTGGCTACTCAGGAGGCTGAGGCACAAGAATTGCTTGAGTCCAGGAGGCAGAGGTTGCAGGTGAGCTGAGATTGTACCACTGAACTCCAGCTTCACTTTGCCTAAAAAGAGTGAAAGTTTGTCAAAACAAAAACACACACATACACACAAACCAGAATAAGAACAAAAACACAATTCTACAGACAGATGACCTCAGTGTCTGAGGACTTCTGGAGGTCCTATGTCCTAATATCCTAACCAGTTAACTTAACCCACCCTAAGAGCTCAGGACCAATATTCAACAAAAATGTCTACCTAAGACTGTCTTCGAGTCAGAGTCTTGTTCTGTCACCCAGGTTGGAGTGCAGTGGTAAGATCTCGGTTCACTGAAACTTTTGCCTCCAAGGTTCAAGCAATTCTTGTGCCTTGGCTTCAAGAGTAGCTGGGATTGATTGCAGGCACCTGCCACCATGCCCAGCTAATTTTCATATTTTTAGTAGACACGGGGTTTCACAATGTTGGCCAGGCTGGTCCCGAACTCCTGATCTCAAGTGATCCACTCACCTTGTCCTCCCAAAATGCTGGGATCAGCTGAGGTCAGGAGTTGGAAACCTGGCCAACATGCTAAAACCCCCTCTCTACAAAAACACAAAAATTAGGTGGGCATAATGATGGGTGCCTGTAATCCCAGCTACTCGTGAGGCTGAGGTGGGAGAATCGCTTGAACTTGTGGCGGAGGTTGCAGAGAGCCGAGATCTTGCCACTGCACTCCAGCCTGGATGACAGAGCCAGATTCCATCTCAAAACAAAACACAAAACAAACAAACAAAAAACCTGAAATGGCAATGAAATTCTTGATAAAGAGCACTGTAACTGTAACAGGATTAACAAAATCTGACACCCTCAAGACTGTCACTGTGGGAAAGACTCCTTTAAGCTAAGAGGCCAAGCATTCAAAATAAAACTTAACAAAACCAAAATGACTTCTAAGGGAGTGAGTAGAGAAAAATAACTTGGAGACATAAACCTTCTCTGATTAAAAAAAAAAAAAAAAGGTCGATAGCACCCATTTTCAGAGTTCTTTTTATTTATGAAAAATGAAAACAAAAAAGGGATTCAAAATGGCCAGACCAGTGATCTTTTAAGCCTAGGCATCTTTCTTTTTTTCAGATTTGGTAAGTTCACTTATTTATTTTGGTAACTATTTTATAGATTCACTCATTCACTTAAGGATCACTGAGAGCCAAATATTGCACTGGGTACAAGGAGTAGGTATGAAAATGCAATTTTGGCTGGGCCTGGTGGCTCACGCCTGTAATCACAGCACTTTGGGAGGCCAAGGCGGGCAGATCACTTTTGAGGTCAGGAGTTTGAGACCAGCCTGGCCAACATGTTGAAACCCCGTCTCTACCAAAATATAAAAAATTAGCCAGGCGTGGTGGCATGCACCTCTAATCCCAGCTATTCAGGAGGCTGAGGCAGGAGAATCGTTTGAACCTGGGAGGCAGAGGTTGCAGTGAGCCAAGATTTTACCAATGCACTCCAGCCCGGTGACTGAGTGAGACTGTCTCAAAAAAAGGGCAATCTCTTCTCTCAAGAGGAGGGGTAAGGAAATGGGCACTTAAGGAGCTGGCTGCTAAAACTGATGCATGTAAAGGAAGCACCAGAGACTGTTAGAAGGGTCAAGCCAGAGGGAGGTTTATGAACAATCATTGGGAACTGATTCCAACTTTGAATTAAAACAGAATTTTTAAAAAAAGTTTCAAGATAATTTTTAAAATCATAGTTATAAGTAGTTTCATAGGTTTTTTTCTGTTCTCAATGTAAACTTTGGGCTTAGGCTAAAGCTGTCACAGAAATATGCATTAATAATGTCTACTGCCACAATAAATTACTTTCCAGCAGCTTGTTTATATTTCCCTGTTTGGGGATAATTAATTTTTAAATAGCTTTCTAAGCTATAAATTACAACTCACTGACTGTTATTTTACAATGATCACAAACCAAACACATAGCATTTATTTTTCATTAACGTTTTATAGTAATTATGTTGATGTTTTCTTATTGATCTTTAGTTACAAGAAGAGGGACTCTGAAATAACCCTGTAGAGAAATTTTAAACCACAGAGATAGTCACTAGCAATTAGGATGTTTTGACTTGTTGTAGGAAGTACTTGTAACTAACTTAGAAGTTTCTTGCATATAACTAACCAACTTAATACAGTATTGTACTGGGAATATAAATGGTTAACTTCCTTATAACTACATTTTGGGGGATCTAACCAAGTTTGAACTTTACAAAATTCTCTTAAATTTTAGTGGAACGGATGGTACAAATAAGGAATTATTTTTAATGAACTCACCTGTACAACTTACCTATGTCTTGGCATTTGCTTAGTTTTCTAAGTGCATTTAAACTTGTCAAAAATTAAATTACATGCCATAAAAAGTTTTGAAAAAAAAAGAAAAGCAAACAATTTGAACTTTTCTTTTGGAAAATTTAATGACTTTGTGGACTGAGGATTCTCTAGAGACTCATATTTTGATTTGAGGCAAGTCAGTTAAATCCAATGTCCCATACAATACCAAAGCCGAGAAAGCAATGCAGGCCTATTTTTAAAAGTGGCTTTAGGAGCAAATAAAAAATACAGAAAACTACTGGTAGATGCTATGCTGTGGTAAGTAATGCAATAGAAAAATAATTGCCAGGCCAGTGCAGTGGCTCAATTCTGTAATTGCAGCACTTTGGGAGTCTGAGGTGGGCAGATCACTTGAGGTCAGAAGTTCGAGACCAACGTGGCCATCATGGTGAAATCAAGTCTCTACCCAAAATACAAAAATTAGCCGAGCATGGTGGCATGCACCTGTAATCCCAGCTACTTGGGAGGTTGAGGCAGGAGAATCGTTTGAACCTAGGAGGCGGAGGTTGCAGTGAGCCGAGATTTTGCCACTGAACTCCAGGCTGAGCAACAGAGTGAGACTTCATGTCAAAAAAAGATTAAAAAAAAAGAAAAAGAATTGCCAAATAATCACTGGAAAGACTGTTAACTGATTTTAATCCTCTACCCTCAATGACCTCACTTCCTACGTAGGTCTCATATCTGCAGTCTATTAAGTAATTCAGTAAAAATTTAGAGAGCACCTGGGTCTATCTAAGGCTGTGACAGCTGTCACTATACATTTGGCTCACATCCCCCAACGACGATTAGGCTTCCCCTGTGAAACCCCACATCATGAAACCGCACATTTCATGTATTTCTAAGCTGGTTCTTAAACACATTTAAGATCATGCAAGCTAAATGAAAGATGTAAGCTAGAATAAAGATCTTCAAACTGGGCTCCATGTAATCACAGATTTACTTTGTGGAGGCAGGAACCACTTCATCCCTACTAGGCCACAATCTGAAATTGGTAATTCTTTTTAAATAAACTGTTAACAGAAGACTCTCAAACACTTTCAGTCTGAAAATGACCAAGTATAAAAATTCTTAAAGCAGCATATTTTCCCCATCATAATAGCCTAATATAAACAACTCCTATGGATTACAGAAAGAAATGCAGAGGGCATTTTTATGAATGAAATGGAGGTTCTTAATAACTGATATGTGGGAGGAGCAGTGGGAAAAAAATAACTGATATGCAAGTAACTTCACCTATAAAAACAAAAGGTAAAACTATGGACCATGCATTCCAATGAACTCACTTTTCAAAACTTTTGTTTTACAACCTTTTGTAAATATTCCCTAAAGTAAATAATCAAAGCAAGTCATAAACACAAAAGCATGATTTCAATCATGTACAGTCTATGGTAAACCTCTACATGATGGTCTTGAGTCATTATTCAAAGTATATTTGCTAACTTCCTACTTATTACCCCTTTAACACAAATGAAAGACACCAGGAGGTGGTGCCTGGCTTTCAACTCCAAGACACAAAGAAGCCAGAGATGGACTCTGCTCCTGGCCTGCTGCACGCTCTTGGGCTGATTGCCCACAGTTCTGAACCAGTTTCCTCTTCTGTAAAAAGGGAATAATATTACCTACCTCGCTGAATAATAGTGAAGATGAAAAGAGGTCTCGTACATCAACGGCCTAATAAAAGGCCTGCCAGACAGTACGGCCCTCTAATCCTTTGAGTCAGCAAGCCCTCCCCACAATGAGTCCAGAGAAAACACAGGCCTGCAGACAGAACCCCGCCTAGATTCCTCCTCAAACCTTCAAATCCTCACCCAGTTTCCCACCCTCCTGCAAAGGCAGAAAGGTACCTCCTTAGTTGTAAAGCTCCCTCAGCAGCTCAGGGACTTTGCTTCAGGATATCCCCCAGTGAGGGGATAATTAGCATTCTGCATTTTCTCTACCCTCCTTGACCTGGATCCTTCCTTTTAGCATTAAACACATTCTGGTTTCTTGCTTTGAAAAAGAAAGAAAACGTCTTTGACTCCACCTCCAGGACAGTCCTATCTTTTGCCTCAGCTCCAAGGCCACATTTTTAAAAAGACTTGCTTGCACTGACTGTGTCTAGGTCTGGGCCCTACCTCCCACTCACTCCTCCGTTTACTTTAATTTGGCATCTGACTGCGCAAAAGCAAAGAAATGTTTGTTATTAAATCACCGATGCTTTCCTTGTTTCTCCTTTCAGTGGCCACTTTTTGGTATTTACAGCATGAGGGGTGGGGGCGCTACTGACTGCTCCCTCTAAGAAACCCAGCCCTTGAGTCCGTGTATTTGAGACACCCTGCCCTCCCCCAATATCTTTTGAGGATTTCTCTTTTTCAGTTTCCCAAATGTTGGTCTTTCTCTCTTTCTTTTTCTTCTCCCACTTCCCAGTCTTTCTCAAGGCCCACTGAAGGGCTCCCTTCTTCACTTTTTCAACATTCTTATCCTCAGATGTTCACCCATTTTCAGAGTGTCAGGCAATGAGGTAACCATATGTCCCTATTTGCCCCGAACAGTTCTGGTTTCTGCCTGTTTCCCCAGAATGATTAGTAACACCCCAAACCCATGAGTCCTGCTTTGGATGATAACAATGGACCATCCCCTTATCAATTCCCATTTGTATGCAGATGACTGAGAATTGTGGCAATAAAGCACAGTGGCTGAGAGGGAGGGCTCTGGGGTTGGCCCCCTGGATTTAGATCCTGCTCCACTGATCAAGCAACCTCTGCTCTGAAGAAACTTCACCAATAAAATGGGCACAATATTACTACAGTTTTCTTAACAAATGAGGGTTCCATGAAAATATGTGAAGTCATTAGCATGTCACCGCCACATTTCTAAGGGCTCAGTGAATGTAGCTATTATCTTTGTCTCTGGCCTAGACCTGTCTTCTGAGTTCCGGACATAGTCAGGTGGAGAGAATAAAGTTCTCCTGGGGGGTGGGGAGTAGGAAAAACAGTCCATACAGGCCTCTATCACTTCCCAATTCTCTTTTTATTTTTTTTTAAGAGACAAGGTCTCACTCTATTGCCCAGGCTGGAGTGTCATTGTGTGATCACTGCACCTTTATCTCCGTGGTTCAAGCAATACTCTTGCCTCAGCCTGCGGAGTAGTTGGGACCGCAAGTGTGTACCATCATGCCCAGCTAGTTTTTTTTGTTTTATTTTTTGTGGAGACAGGCTCTAGCTTTGTGGCCCAGTCTGGTCTCGAACTCCTGGTTTCAATCAGTCCTCCTGCTTTGGCCTCCCAAAGTGCTGGGATTATAGACATAAGCTACTGTGCCCAGCTACTTCCCAATTCTCTAGACACTCATTTATCCTCCCATCAAACTGTGGCTGAATTCCTCACATAATTGTCCCGTGACCTTTGAACAGTCTCCCTAAAGGAGACTGGGAATGATGGCAGCAGACTCTCACCATACAGTTTCAGAGAGCTGATGTATAATTTTGCTTGAAGCACTGGCTGGGAATACAAAATTGAGTAGAAATAAACTGTTTCTGAAATGTGTGTGTGATAACCTACTTTTTGCCAGCTAAAACTAACTCTCTCTTTCTCAGACTAAAAGCTGTTCAGGCTTTATGTTAGCTCCTTAAGCCGGGCAGACTCCATCTTAGCTTCTTCATTTTAGTTATTTTCCCACCATTAAGTATGTAACTGTAGTATACAGCTGGGGCAGGCTGACATTGGGCATCTCCAGGAATGCATTTGTTGGTAAGAGGCCAAGTTAAGTGGTACCAGCAGAGCTTGGGAATGCAGGTGCTGTTGAGCACCCAAAGACCCCATTATCTATAAGTTGTATGTCTTTTTTTGACAACTTTACCCCTCACACCTGGCACTGTTTTATTTCTCATGTACTAGTTTATCTTTTAACTTTTTGCTTACTCCGCTTTTGTGAAAATTTGCTTCAGCTAGATTCCTCCTCCTCTTCAAAACTAGGGTATAAAACACCACCTAACTTTTTCTTAAGGGCTGAGAGAATTTGGAGTGTTGGCCACCTCTTGGTCACTGGCATAATAAAGGACTCATAATTTAATCTCAGAGTGTGGCGCATTTGCACGAGCACATGTGGATAAAGTCATTTTTATTTTTGAGGACTGATTTTGTTTTAGTTGTGAATAAATAATTAGGCTGATCTGTATCCTAGCAATCACTTAAAAGTTTTGATGTTGGCTGGGAGTGGTGGCTCATGCCTGTAATCCCAGGACTCTGGGAAGCTGAGGTAAGAGGATCGCTTTAGCCCAGAAGTTCAAGACCAGCCTGGGCAACATAGTGACACCTGTTTCTTAAAAAGAAAAAAAAATTTGATGACTAACGAATAGTGGAAACAATATATATATTTTGAAGATGCATTTTAGGGAGGAGGGGAATGTTGCAGTATATTTTGGGAAGCTGAGCACAGTGATCAATGTCAGATTTGTTTTTGGTTTCAAGGTTAAATTTTTTTACTTTCCCCAAAGTTTTCTTAGTCCTTAAAAAGTTTGTATTTGATGAAAACATTATTTTAAAAATGGTATTGTTTTAGTTTTATATGTTTTCTCCTATAAAACTTCATCATCTAGGTTTAAAAGTTCAAATTCATTGCATTCTGTTAACTTTTTATGACTTGGGATATGATCCTTTCTTCTTGGGATCTTCTGAAAGGCTTCGGGGAAGGATAGGTTTTGTGTAAGCCCAGAGAGCTTTTTCTCATGTCTTTATGTTTGTTTCTGACTCACTTTTGAATGTTCCCCAGCTCTTTCCTCTTACTGAAATTCTGTTCCTTCATTAAGACCCATGTTAAAAGACAATTTTGTCAGAGAGCCTTCTCTACTCACCCAGACAGAAAAATCTCTCCCTCCTTTGAGGGATGACTCTACTTAACCCTCGGTTCTGTTTTGTTCTAGAATTAACTGCATGTGCCATTCTATCTTCTCTTATGCTAGTTCTTGATGGCAGAAGCGGTCTCACCCATTCTTATACCCCCCAGGACCCAGTGCCTGTGCCTAATAATCATCAGCACTCACTGAGCACTTAATTTGTGCCAGGCCTGCTCCATTCTCACAACCTGGTGAGGGAGGAACTATTATTTTCTCCATTTTATAAATGAGTAAACTGAGGTATGGAGAGATTATATAAATTGTCTGAGGTTGGCCAGGTGTGGTGGCTCACGCCTGTAATCCCAGCACTTTGGGAGGCTGAGGTGGATAGATCTTCTGAGGTTGGCCTTGTCAACACAGTGAAACCCAGTCTCTACTAAAAATACAAAAATTAGCCCAGTGTGGTGGCATGCACCTGTAATCTCAGCTACTCAGGAGGCTGAGGCAGGAGTAGCTTGAACCTGGGAGGTGGAGGTTGCAGTGAGCCAAGATCATGCCACTGCACTCCAGCTTGGGTGACAGAATGAGACTGTCTCAAAAAATACATTACAAATAAATAAATAAATTGCCTAAGATTGCCCAGCTAGTAAATGGCAGAACTATTCTTTTGACAATTTATCTTCTTCTTCCTTTTTTTGAGGCAGGGTCCCACTTGGTTACCCGGGAGTACAGTGGCATGATCATGGCCTCAACTTCCCAGGCTCAAGCAATCCTTCCACCTCATCCTCCGAGGTAGTTGGGACTTTAGGTTCACACCACCACACCCGTTAACGACAGTGAATCTTCCCATTGATTAGATAAGCTTAAGGTTTCCTTTTGTTTCTTTAGGAAGAAGTATGGCTCCAAAGCCTGAGCTTTTAATCTCAGCTATAAATATTTGTTTAAAATAAGGGAGAAAAAAAAATCATCTTATCTAGAAAAAAATGTTTGCATGTAACTTTGTTATTCTCTGTTGAAAAACAACACAATATTTTGCGCATAGCTTTAAATTTTTCCATGAGAAAACAAAGTGGGTGTAAAGTGACTTAGTTCAATTTTCATCACTCTGTTAGCTAGTCTTCTTAAAAGTCAACAGAAAACCCAGTGCGGCACTAAAGCTTTATTTGTGTTTCAAATGTTTAGGCTTATGCTGACTACTCTAGATTCCCACCAATGGCTGAATGAAAAGTTCCCATGCATAAAAAAGTAGGGCAATTGGAGAGCTAATAATGAGGAGTGCTTGCAAGGTTGCATTCTGACAATTCTGATCCAGGACTAGCCACAAAAGTCCATTTACTCAGTAACAGGAACCTGGGGTTGAGTCAGCAGGCCTGGATTTCTTCCACCTCTAATGCTTACTTTATCTTTGTGCTACTTAGTATTCCATCTTTTAAATGGGGGAAATAGCACTTATGCTTCTCTGAAGGGATTACACAAAAGAGTTTTAAAAATGGATATGATTTTATTATTGTTATTATTATTACCATTTTTGTAGATCTAAATTCTATGTGTAACAGTGTTTCTTTGGAAACATTTTTTTCTTTTCTTTTTCTTTTTTTGTTTTTTTTTTTGAGGTGGAGTCTTGCTCTGTTGCCCAGGCTGGAGTGCAGTGTCGCGATCTCACTCACTGCAACCTCTACCTCCCAGGTTCAAGTGATTCTCCTGCTTCAGCCTGCCAAGTAGCTGGGATTACAGGCACCTGCCACCCAGATAATTTTTGTATTTTTAGTGGAGACGGGGTTTCACCATATTGGCCAGGCTGGTCTCGAACTCCTGACCTTGTGATCCACCCACCTTGGCCTCCTACAGTGCTGGGATTACAGGCGTGAGCCACCACGCCCAGCCTTCCTTCCTTTCTTTCTTTCTTTTTTTTTTTTGAGACAGAGTCTTGCTCTGTAGCCCAGGCTCCAGTGCAGTGGTGCGATCTTGGCTCACTGCAACTCCTCCTTCATGGGCTCGTGATTCTCCTGCCTTAGCCTCTGGAACAGCTGGGATCACAGGCATATGCCATCATGCCCAGATAATTTTTGTATTTTTAGTAGAGACTGAGTTTCACCTGGTCTCGAACTCCGGACCTCAGGTGATCCACTCACCTAGGCCTCCCAAAGTGCTGGGATTATAAACCTGAGCCAACCTTTTTCCATAGGTGCTCAGTCTATGAAAAAAAAATTTTGAATTTAAAAATGAGATTATAAGAGCAAGTCTCAGCCAGGTAGAGTGGCTCACACCTGTAATCCCAACACTTTGGGAGCCAAGGAGGGAGGATTGCTTGAGAGCAGGAGTTCAAGTCCACCCTAGATCCCTGTCTCTCCAAAAAATAAAAAATAAAAAAAATTAGCAGGACATGGTGGTGCACTCCTGTAGTCCCAGCTACTCAGGTGGCTGAGATGCAAGGATTCCTTGAGCTCAAGACTTTGAGGCTGCAGTGAGTTGTGATGCTACCACTGCACTCCAGCCTGGATGACAGGGCAAGACACTGTCTCTGCCTTGGCTTTTACTCGCACTAAGTTGCAGAGGATTCTGGAAACTTGAGCTCCCATTGCTTTCCCTGTTGGCAGCGCAACTGAGCACTTGCCAGTTTCAAGCTCTATGGTTTGGAGCACAAGAAAGAACAAGCGAGTTCCAGGGACTGAGGAAGCTGAGGAACAAGAATCTGTGCTGGAGAAATGACTGTCCTGCTTCCCAGGCACACAGACTAACTTCTCACATTAGGCCTTTCCCCAGACTATGGTTTTCTCTCTTCAGTGCCAGCCATGAACCTAGGGGCTTTTCTCTCTGCTGCCTTGTTCAGCTGAGTTCCTGCTTCTCTTTTCTCCTCCATCTCCAAAAATAAGTCAACAGCTATGCACTACCTACCTTAGAGTTAATTGTGGAAATCAAATGAAATGCTGTGTAAACTCTACAAATGCTCACTGCTATTGTTATTCTGAGCCACCTTAGCATATCTAGAAGGTGGGCTTAGTGGTTAAGGAAGATTTCCAGTTAAATGATGCCTGTAACTTATTATTTAGCAACACTAATTATTTAACATACTCTCCCAAAAGTATTTACATGTTTTACCAGTTTATCTCTTTATTCTTCTTAAGAACTCTAAGAAGGCCATGCACAGTGGCGCAGGCCTGTAATCTCAGCAACTTTGGGAGGCCGATGTGGATAGATCAACTGAGGTCTGGAGTTTAAGACCAGCCTGGCCAATATGGTAAAACCCTGTCTCTACTAAAAATATAAAAATTAGCTGGGCATGGTGTCATATGCCCGTAATCCCAGCTACTTCGGAGGCTGAGGCATGAGAATTGTTTGAACCTGGGAGGCAGAGGTTGTGATGAGCCAAGATAGCGCCACTGCACAGCAGCCTGGGCAACAGAGTGAGACTCAGTCTATTTAAAAAAAAAAAAAAAAAAAGAAGAAGAACCCTAGGAAATACATACTTTATTTATTTATTTACTTGAGACAAGGTCTCACTCTGTTTCCCAGGTTGGAATTCAGTGGCAAGATCATGGCTCACTGCAGCAACTCTGCAAGCTCAATTGATCCTCCCACTTCAGCCTCCCTAGTAGCTGGGACTACAGGCCTGTGCCACCATGCCCGGCTCATTTTTATATATATTTTTAGAGATGGGGTTTTATCATGTTGCCTTCGCTGGTCTTAAACTCAGACTCAAATAATCCACCTGCCTCAGCCTCCCAAAGTACATAGATACTCACAATTGTGAGCCACTGCACCTGGACTACATACTCTAATTTTCTCCATTTTACACATTTAAAAATTAAGGCTAAAAGATTGAGTAATCTGCCCAAGGTCATCCATTTTATAAAAAGCAGTGCTGTGAGTAAACACTGATGCCAAGCCCCTGTGGTAAACCACAACATACAAGATTTCAGACAACCAATGCCTCACATTTCTTCTCCACTTCACAACTAAGTTGGCTGTTTCCTTTCACTGACCATTTTAATAAATTTACTAATTTATCAGTCACTAATATTTTGTTATTGCCAAACACCATTTGACTCTTTAGTGTTACATGGGGTGGGCTGGAGCAGGCTAGGGTGCTGATTCGTCTCTACAGTAAGAGCCCAAGAAATGACAGTCTCAAGAAAGGCTGGTCAGAAATGCCAACTTAATGTTTCAAATAAAATGGAAAAACTGAAAAGTACTTACTCATTAAAGTAACTGGTGATTTTTAAGCATCCCTCTCGGTTGATTCTAGATCTCGTCCCTAGTTAGCTTTCTTCCTCTCCTGTAGATCATTGTGGCCAGATGGGAGATCTCAGAGCTTGGGCTAGAAGGGAAATAAGTTAGCCTCTGGGTGCTGCTATGCTTGCAAGCCAGTGTCTGGGGAGAAGATGACATTTCCGGTGGCATCTGGGGCAAATGGCAAAAACGAGTCAGCATTTACTTTCTTGCTTTAGGAAGCGGAAGACTAGTGACCAAAGCTTCAAGACTTTGACATGTACGAAAACACGAAATGGTAAGTCAAAACAAAAGACAGCATCTTCCTGGAATTTGGTTTTGGGCTTGTTTTCATTTCACCTTTCTCAGTAATCTGGGTGTAGCTTATTTTGACTCTTCCTTTGATTGAACAATTCAGACCCTCGGCTCTTTTTGTTCTTGCTGGTATGGTGTGTTCACAGCTGAAAAGGTGGTCAGAAGGGGAAAGGAGGAAGTGAGAAGAAAGAAACAAGGAAATGGTAAGAAGAACTCTCCTTTTCTAACTAATATTTAATAGCCGTAATCTTGTGTTCCTGTGCAAAGTGTTACAGTTTACAAACAACTTTTATTTTTATTTGTTTATTTATTTATTTTATTATTATTATTTTTTGAGACAGAGTTTCCCTCTTGTTGCCTAGGGTGGAGGGCAATGCTGTGATCTCGGTTCACAGCAACCTCCGCCTCCTGGGTTCAAGAGATTATCCTGCCTCAGCCTCCCAAGTAGCTAGGATTATAGGTATGTACCACCACACCCAGCTAATTTTGTATTTTTTTTAGTAGAGACGGGGTTTCTTCATGTTGGTCAGGCTGGTCTCAAACTTGCACCCTCAGATGATCCACCTGCCTCCACCTCCCACAGTTCTGAGATTACAGGCGTGAGCCACCGTGCCCAACCAATTTTTGTATTTTTAGTAGAGATGGGATTTCGCCATGTTGGCCAGTCTGATCTCGAATTCCTGATCTCAGGTGATTCACCAGCCTTTGCCTCCCAAAGTGCTGGAATTACAGGCGAGAGCCATTGCACCTGGCCACAACCTGCTTTTAAATCCTTTCACTTCATCTCTCCACTGCGCTCTTGATGGAAGAACAGCCCAGTCCACCCTACAGGAAATCACAGGCCTGAGCCACTGGCTTCAGTAGACACGGTACGTAGCAGAGCAAGACAAGAACTTTCTGATTTCTCTCTTAGTGTTCTACTTGAAACCAGCAGGTAACTCAAGGGGACAGCGTGCTTAAAAGGGAGATGGTCAGCCAGGCACGGTGATTCAAGCCTGTAATCCCAGCACTTTGGAAGGTCAAGCAGGTGGATCACCTGAGGTCAGGAGTTCAAGACTAGCCTGGCCAACATGGTGAAGCCCTGTCTCTACCGAAAATACAGAAACTAGCTGGGTGTGGTGGCAGGTGCCTGTAATCCCAGCTGTTTGCGAGGCTGAGGCAGGAGAATCACTTGAACCCGGCAGGCAAAGGTTGCAGTGAGCGGAGACCGTGCCACTGCACTCCAACCTGGGTGACAAGAGCAAAGACACCACCACCAACAACAAAAAAAGCAGGGTGGCGTGGCAGGGGAGATGGTCCTAACTGATTAGATGTCGGTTTTCTTTTCTCTGGAATAAGATGATTTCAGGGAGGGGAATATAATTTTTCTTACAAGTACCAAGATGAAAAAGAAAAGGAAAAAAATGAATCAGAAAAAAAAAGAGAGAGAGAAAATGAAGTTTTAAAAAGTTTTTCTCAAAACACTGAGCCTTCTATAGGTGATTTTTTGTTTGTTTGTCTTTTGTTTTTTGTTTTTTTTGGTCACCCAGGCTGGAGTGCAGGGGTGCAATCTCGGCTCACTGCAACCTCTGCCTCCCGGGTTCAAGCAATTCTCTGCCTCAGCTTCCCGAGTAGCTGGGATTACAGATGACTGCCACCACACCTGGCTAATATTTTGTATTTTTAGTAGAGATGGGGTTTCACCATCTTGGCCAGTCTGGTCTTGAACTCTTGACCTCGTGATCCGCCTGCCTCAGCCTCCCAAAGTTGTAGGACTAAGCCACCACGCCTGGCCTCTATAGATGTTTTAAACACTTCAGGATAGATTCAATATTTCTCCATCAAATGGTACTGTCGGGGCTCAAAATATACTACCCCAATGCATGACTACAGAAGATCAGAATATGCCACCCCCAGATACCCCTAATCCCAGCTCCTTGAGAATCGCTTCAATCCAGCAATTGCAGTGAGCAGAGATTGTGCCACTGCACCCCTGCTTGGGTGACAGTGAGACTCCATCTCAAAATAAAAATAAAAAATAAAAAATACGCCACCCCAAAGTATAGTTATTTGGCATATTTCGAGCTGATTATTCTGAGCAACTGCAGACACAGGAGTATCTCTGAAAAGCTGTCCTTTTGTAAAATGTATTTATATTTATAAAAGAAATCTACATTAGTCAAAGTATCTATCAGGAAGTCCTGCTCTCAGACAACTTTTATTACCTGGGAGACTTTTTATTTACATAACAAAACAACCTTTATTTACCACCATCCCATAACTTGTCACTAGCTCTCACAGAAGCCCCAAGTCCCTGTTCCTTCCTATAGCTCAGGATAAGCTTCCATCATCTGGCCTTTCTTTGAGTTTCATGTGTGTGTGCACATAATGAAACATGTTTTTTCCTCTTTTTTTTTTGTTATTTATTTATTTTTAAAAATTTTTTATTATTATATATATTTTTAAAGATGAGGTTTCACCATGTTGGTCAGGCTGGTCTTGAACTCCCGACCTCAGGTGATCCACCAGCCTTGGCCTCCAAAGTGCTTGGATTACAGGCATGAGCCACCACGCCTGGCAGTTTTTTGTTTTTTAAATTAAGATTTAGTCTCATTATGTTGCCCAGGCTGGTCTTGAAGTCCTGGAGTGATCCTCCCACCTCAGCTTCTCAAAGGCATGAGCCACTGAGCTAGGCCAAAAGTGGTTTTTCTTCTGTTAATCTGTTTTGTGTCAATTTAATTTGTAGCCCAGCCAACAAACCTAGAAGGATGGAGGAAGCCGTATTCCTTCCTGCAGTACAGAATAACTAACAAGAGTAACATATTTCCGAATAGTACTGAACTACATGCTCTAAAGGCTTAGTTGTTTTTTTTTTTTTAATAGTATGCTACTTATGTAAACTGGATGATAATGTGACATATTGTCTTTCCTTGAAAAATATCATTTTACTTTATATCACTGTCTACTCAGTGTGTGGCTTAAAATTAATTCCATACATTTTTTTTTTTTTTTTTTTTTGAGACGGAGTTTCGCTGTTGTTACCCAGGCTGGAGTGCAATGGCGCCATCTTGGCTCACCGCAACCTCCGCCTCCTGGGTTCAGGCAATTCTCCTGCCTCAGCCTCCCGAGTAGCTGGGAGTACAGGCACGCACCACCGTGCCCAGCTGATTTTTTTGTATCTTTTTTAGTAGAGACGGGGTTTCACCATGTTGACCAGGATGGTCTCGATCTCTTGACCTCGTGATCCACCTGCCTCGGCCTCCCAAAGTGCTGGGATTACAAGCTTGAGCCACCGTGCCCAGCAATTCCATACATTATACATTGCTTTCCTCCTCTTGTCTATGGCCATCAATAAAATTATCTTGCATTTTCCCATGAATTTTAATACAGTCATTACCACGAAATTTAATACAGTCAAGGCAGAACCCAACTGATAGCCTTAGTATTTATAATTCAGAGTAGTCTGTTATATAACTTTGAAAATCTGCCATTATTTACTTCTAGCAATTCTATAAATGAATTGCAAATCTTTCAGTTCTGGAGGTTTCAGCTAGTCTGTGCACTGTGAGAATAAAAGAACAACCTCTGTAATCATTCCAAGACCAGAGTACAGAGGAACTGTAATAATGCAAATGATAATCACACTCTTTAAACTTAAAATAAACCTGTTTGAGATCAAGAGATTTTCAACTGGCTTTCTTGCTTCCAAGAACTTATGCTCTGTGTAGACATCTACTATTGCTATTCTAGCAACTAGTGTTATTCTGGCCCCATTTCATGTTTAAAAGCTCAGTGGTTTTTTTATTTTTTACCCACCAAACTTGGCTTTTTCTTAAACAATAATGACAACTTATGCACACACAAGTGTGCATGTTTTACCTTGCAAATGTGCTTTCACACACAGATATCCTTTAATATTAGCAACTCATTAGCAGTTACAGCCACAGAGAAATTTGAACTTTTCTTTATGCAAGCTATTATCATTTTATCTACATTTTCTATTTTAAGGAACACAATTTATTTTTCTAATCTTCTTGGGAATCCTGTAAGTGGGCAAGAAATCAGCCCATTAAATATATACTTATATGTGCATTAATTTCAGCTGACCAGTGTATGCATGTGCTTAAATCTATTGCTGGCTGCCTTAAACAGATTGGACCAAATTTGGCAAATCACAAAACTATGTTTTTTCTTTGCTTGTCTGACTTAAACAGTCTACATATTTTTTATAATTTCTCTTCAAAGCACTCACATTTAGTACTTTGAAGCACATATGAATAATGAATAATTTGTTTCTATTAGGGTAGAAAAATCTTCTCTGATAGCATACTAAGAACTTTGAAATTCTAGATTAAAGCTTCTTGAGTTCAGTTCAGTAACAGAACTAAATTCTGCACTAAGTCAGTACGTGCAAACTTTGTGTTGATGAGCAAGGCAATAGTTGTGGGGATTTGGGATGTTACAGACTGAGAAGAGCCAAATCAGTGATTTCACTATTCAGGATGGATGAAATGAGAAATGTAAATTTATAAAAATTCCCATTCTGTCATGATTTCTTAAACATTTCTACAAACTTAGAATTCTTATGTTTCATGCAAGTTCTGTATTCTGTTCCAGTGCAGCTTAGGGGCTCAGAGCATGGCCTTTGCAGGCAGAAAAGTTGAATTTAGGGTCCCAAATTAAAAACCCACAAGCTATATGACTTTGGGAAAGTTACTCAACCCCTCTGGCCCACTTCCCATTGTGAAGCTTAAACATACAATGTGCTAAGCATTTTATTCCAGGAATTAGTAAACATGCATCCATGCTTTAGTAATGCAAAATAATACTTTAAATGACTAAATACTGACAAGTACCTTGTTTGATGGGCACTGTTCCATTGGCTGGTGTGACACCATCACTGCAGGAACAGACTGCACAAGTGGGAGGAGATGACAGAAATCATCCTTAGGTCAAATTGAAGTTCAGGGAGATTGAGCAACTGTCTGAATCACACAGGTTAACCACTGAGCTTGGACTAAAGACCAGGCTTCCTGGGTCCCAGATTCATAGTTCCAGAGCCATAGTTCATGAATTTTTTTCTCTAAGGTTGCAAACTCTTTTTACAGAGAATAGTTCAATACCCTACAAGAAATGGGTCTTATATTATTTAGCAATATCCCTTACCTCTGAACCATGGGGTTAGCTTTCTAATTCCAATTCTTTCTATTTTTTTTTTTTTTTTGAGACAGAGTCTTGATCTGTCACCTATGCTGGAGTGCAGTGGCACGATCTCAGCTCATGCAACCTCTACCTCTGGGCTCAAGTGATCCTCATACTTAAGTCCCCTGCCAACCTTAGTAGCTGGGACCACAGGTGTGAGCCACCTCGCCCTGCTAATTTTTTGTATTTTTGATAGAGATGGGGTTTCACCATGTTGCCCAGGCTGGCTTCGAACTCCTAGGCTCAAATGATCTGCCCGCCTCAGCCTCTCAAAGTGCTGGGATTACAGGCCTGAGCCACTGTGCTCAGCTATTTTGTTTTTCTTTCTTTCTTTTTTTTTTTTTTTGAGATCGAGTCTCACTCTGTTGACATGCTATTCAGGATGGATGCAATATCGGTTCCTGCAACCTGTCCCCCAGGTTCAAGCAATTCTCCTGCCTCAGACTCCTGAGTAGCTGGGATTACAAGCGTGTGCCACTACACCTGGCTAAGTATTATTATTATCTTTTTCAAGTAGAATTGGGGTTTCACCATGTTGGCCAGGCTGGTCTCGAACTCCTGGCCTCAAGTGATCCACACGCCTCAGCCTCCCAAAATGCTGGGATTAGAGTGTACAAGCCACCACGTGTGGCCATAGGTTGTTTTGTCCAGGAAGATAGAAATAGCTTAATATTTTTAGATGTGTGCTATTCTTCCTTTCTTACTTTATTAGATAAACATTCATCCAGTGCCCCCTCAGTCAGGCACAGTGCTTAGCACCTGAGATTTGAGGTTGAATAGAACGTGGTCTTCTCTGTGTTCTGTAGCTCACAGTGCAGGGAGGGAAAAACACAGAAGCAGATAATTAGAATTCAATGTTGGGAGTGCATTTATGGCTTTATGTTAGAGTATAACTTCTATTACTGAAAAGGGATTTTAAAAATTCTACTGAAAACATGAAAATGACAAAATAGCAGCATGAAAAGTAGCTTCCGGTCATATTCTTTTCTGATGAATATTTGCTTTGTACATATGATTGGCCCACATTGCATTATTTGTTTTATAAATTAATTGTATATCACTATTCAATTTTGTGGTAAAATAGTAGGCTTTTAAGTATTTTTCCCAATTATCACTTAAAAAACTATTGGTACGGGTTACTTTTTTTGACCTTCCTTTTTCTTTTAGAATGTTCTTTTCTTTAACATGGTTTGTTGTTGCTTCTCTGAAATACATTTATTTATTATTATTATTCCTTTTTTTTTTTTTTTTGAGATGAAGTCTTGCTCTGTTGCCAGGCTGGAGTGCCTCTAATCCTAGTATTTTGGGAGGCTGAGGTGGGTTCATCACCTGAGGTCAGGAGTTCGAGACCAGCCTTGCCAACATGGCGAAACTCTGTCTCTACTAAAAATACAAAAATTAGCTGGGTGTGGTGTGGTGATGTACGCTTGTAGTCCCAGTTACTCGGGAGGCTGAGGCAGGAGAATTGCTTGAACCCAGGAAGTGGAGGTTGTAGTGAGCTGAGATCACGACACTGCATGCACTTCAGCCTGGGCGACAGAGTGAGACTCCATCTCAAAAAAAAAAAAAAAAAAAAAATTAGCTGAGGATGGTGGTACATGCTATACTCAGCTACTCAGGGGACTGAGGTGGGAGGATTACCTGAGCCCAGTAAGTCAACGCTGCAGTGAGCTATGATGGTGCCACTGCACTTCAGCCTGGGAAACCAGGCCCTGTCTCAAAACAAACAAACGAACAAATAAAAAACAAACACCAAAATGGCTAAGTTTACAGCACCAAGTCTATCCCTTAACAGTATGGCTGCTTTGAGTTCAGGCATGTGTCTAAGGATAGCCGGTTCAGAGACCTTGATGCTTGATCACAGAATCAAGACCCTGGGAAAATTTCTTATAGCTCATTTATTTAAAGCTTTATTACAATTGTTTACACTACTCAGGAAAAAAACAAAAACAAAAACCAAAAAACAAGAAACTATGGGTGTTCAGAGAGCCGTGTTAGCCTACAAAATTTGAGAGAGAAACTGTCATTCACAGAGCTTGATTAACCACAGACTTGAATTTCAGGAGGAAGTAAGCTGTGAAAAATCTGTAACCTTTGCCTGTCACATGCTTAGTTTTTTTTTACAAGAAAACTAGAGAAGGAGCTTATTATTCTTTAAATAGAAAAACTTCTAATTAAAAAAACCCTAAAATGTTTTATCTGAATAAGTTCTCTTGGTAGATGTCTTAAGAATGATTGATCGTAGTCAGGGGTTAGGGGCCAGGACCCAGCTCACAAGACTCATGCAAGTTCTTTAAGCTGTGATTGTGTCTGATGAAGAGGAATCATTCTTACATGTTTGTGCAAGGAAGAAATCCTTGTCATTTTCTTTCATTGCTTGGTCCACAGAAGGAAACAGAAAGGAAGAGAGGTTAGTGGGCATACACATTGTCACCCATGCTAAGAGAAAAGGTAGTTGAGAGCTTTGCTTGCCCACATGCTGATCTGCTGAGTCATCCTTGTCCTATTAGGAGAGAGACTTCCTTCCCTCAGTGGGACTGGGAGTGGGCAGCAGCCTCAGGCAGCTGGAAGATGTGCCCCTGGGCCTCAGACAGCTCTGAAGAGGTGGCCCAGAGCTTCCTCTTTCATAGAGCTAATTAGGTTCTTATCTGTGCTACCAGATGAGCCCAGCTGCCAGCTCCTTACTTCATCTCAGCCAATCCAACAGGCTATTCAAACCAACACTGATATTATCATAGCAATTTATTTTATATATTTTGGACAAAGATTTAAACTAATTTAGTCCTCCATCTGTCACCTTCAGACTATAAAGCCCTTTATTTTCTTGGTGCATTGACCATGGGGCTCCATCTAGGTCCTGAAAGGACAGTCCCTCAAGGCCCTGAGCTAGAGACCACAGGGTAACTCTACATGCTGTACTACAAAGATTTTGGTAACATCTGATTGTTTGCTAAAATCCCATTCAAAGCTCCTTCCACCTGGGTAGTGCCAGCCAAGTTGGGCTCAGCTTCATTTGGATGAATATGTCAAATTCCCTGGCCATTTGGATAGCCATTTACCTAAGGCAAGAGCAAACGCTGGCTAAACCATCAACTCACCATTTATGTTGGTGGTGCTGGGATTTGAGAGCACAGAGTGGAAGGCAGAAACAGGGCAGCACCTGTAACTACCATCAGGTTTACTTCCTCATTTCCCTTTTTAACATACAAGGCCCTTAAAGAAGCTACAATTTTTTTTTTTTTGATAGAGCTGGGGTTTCACTATATTTACCAGGCTGGTCTTGAACTCCAGGCCTCAAGTGATCCTCCTGCCTCAGCACCCTAAAGAAAACCTAGGATTTAAAAAATGATCAATTCATATAAAGAGAGACTGAAAAATATGGAAGTGAACCTTTGCCTTGTCCCCAGCAGGCTGAGGAATTACCAAGGAGGGAGGAGGTGGAGCAAAATACACCAAGCCTGATGCCAATCATTGACAATATTATGCTTAGTATTTATTGAGTGCTGACTATGGTTGAAACCACCTTTGCAAAATTATGATTGAGACAGTGAAAGAGATCTAACTTAACTGACTCTATCTTGTTTCTAACCTCCAAGCTGTCCTTGTTCATTCCTGGGCATAGGCTGAATTAACCTTGGGAGAAATTTAGTTTATAGTTTAAAACAAAAATGATAACAGCCTTTTCCCAAAGCAGACCTCCTTCTTGTCTGGGGACTAGATGGCCTTTGTGGGAATAACATAATCCCCAAGATTAGAAATTATGGGATAGGAGTCATGCAGCTGGAGGTTACAAGATTCTGACCCTCCCTAAATTGCTCCTAAGGTCAATGCTTGAGGTATTTTGCAGACCCTGCATGTGATGGATCAACTGACACCAATCCAGATCGATAAACTGGCTCATCTGATCTTGTGGCCCCTACCCTGGAACTGACTCAGTGCAAGAAGACAGCTTCGACTCCTTATGATTTCATCCCTGACCAATCAGCACTCCTGGCTCACTGGCTTCCCCTAACCCCCCAAATTTTCCTTAAAAACTCTTTTCTCCAAATGCTGGTGGAGACTGATTTGAGTAATAATAAACCTCTGGTATCCTGCACAGTCGACTCTGTGTGAATTACTCTTTCTTCATTGCTATTCCCTTATTTTGGTGAAACGGCTCTGTCAAGGCTGCGGGCAAGGTGAACCCCTTGGGTGGTTAAGTGGTCATTGTCCCTTCTTTTGACTTCATTCCTCTCTCTCTCCCTCTCTTCCTCTGGTCCCTTCTCCCTTCTTCCCTCTCTTTATTTCTTTCCTCCTTTTCATAAAAACACTACTGAAACTGTCTTTGCAAATATTATAACTGAGAAAATTATGTCAATGAAAGAAATCTGATCTAACTGACTCCACCTTGCTTGTAACTTCCAACCTGTTACACCATTCCTGGGTATAGGCTGAACTGTATTTACCAGGCTGGTCTTGAACTCCAGGCCTCAAGTGATCATTGCCCCAAAGTTAAGATTCTTTCTTAACTTTGAAAGAAACTTAGTTTATAGTATAACTTTGAAACAAAGATGATAGATAGCCCTTCCCAAAACAAACCTCCTTCCTACCTGAAGACTAGACTGCCTTTGCGGGACTAACATATTAGCTACCAGATTATAAATTATGGTTTAGGACTCATGCAGCTGGAGGCTGCAGGATTCTGAGCCTTTCCAAATTGCTGCTGGGGATAACGTCACTATAATAAAACCTAAGATCAGTGTTGGGAACAATTGGGAATAGTGAGGACTACGGCAAACTGGTGTCACAGAGTGGCACAGTGCACTCTGTTCTAGCAGATTACTTCATGAGGGAATATGGCTTTAAATTGCCAAAATTCCATTTTTTTAAAAAAAAACTGTAAATATAGATTTTTTTGAGCTGTATTCTTATTTTTAAACATTTGCTCAAATAAAAAGATGCTGCATAGGTAAAACCAAACAGTTTTGCAGCTTTGCAACTGTTTTTAAATTTTTTCTTTTTAATTATGTCTAGATGTGAAGGAGTCAAATTCAGGCAAATATCTGGGAATCAGGGACCACACAGAATCAGATCAAACTGGGGCTGTGGGTAGAAGACATGTAAGCAGTGAGGACTGCAGAAGCTGTGAAGGAACCGGAGACAGAAAGTTCTGAAACTATCTTCGTCTTAGGAACAGACTTCTCTTCTAGCTGTAGCAAAAACCAGTAATGGTTTCCCAGGCAACATCCAGTCTGGCATAACCTGGAAGCTCACATGCTTCTGCAATGCAGTATCATCTCTTGATAGGAAAATTTTGACATAATTTTCCAGACTTTTACCAGTCCAAGAAGGGAAGCTTTGAATGTTCTCTTGAGTATCAACTTCCTGTCCTGGCAAATATTAACCCTTCCATTATGTGCAAAGAGTTCTTAATGAATTCTCATTATCTTTGTAGCACATTGGAATCAGTTTCGCAAAGCCTGAATGATAAGTATTCTCTAAGTGCTATTTATATTTTATTTGTGGTGCTTACAATGACTATAGATAATTGTATATTTGTAATCTCAATATACTAAGCAATATGGTACTTGATCTAAACGGCTTTAAATATTTCTTCATAATTAGGCAGAGCTTAATGGCCTGTTTTCAGATAGATGTTCGGGTTTACACATACCAGTTCTCAAAGATGAACTTAAAAATATTGGCTTTCAGGCCTGGTGCGGTGGTTCATGCCTGTAATTCCAGCATTTTGGGAAGTGGAGGCAGGCAGATCACTTGCGCTCAGGCGTTCAAGACCAGCCTGGGCAACATGGTGCGACCCCATCTCTACAAAAATACAAAAAATTAGCTCTGTGTGTTTGCTCACACCTGTAGTCTCAGCTACTCAGGAGTTTGAGGTGGGAAGATCACCTAAAGTTAGGAGGTTGAGGCTGCAGTAAGCCAAGATCGCACCACTGCATTCCAGACTGAATGATACAGTGAAACCTTGTCTCAAAAAAAAAAAAAAAATTCTTCGTTTGTTAAGGAAGAATAATAACAAAATACTGCTGGGCAGTATCAATAACCATACTATCCAAAACTTTTTAAAAACCTTTCAAATAACTTCAAACAAATGTCTATTTTGTTTTTTAGAACACAGAGGAAATAGAATTTCAATGAATAACTGTGTCTTTTAATTCACATCACATAGGTCTCTTACTGTTTAAGTCTCATTATTATTTTTTCCACTGATTCTACAGTGATCTGAATGGACGTGGACTAGCGTTACTGGTCCAGCAGAGCAGTGGAATTTGGTAGGGACACTGTACTAATATCAGCAAGGCATTTGGTGAGGACGTTTGCTGCCAAGTTTTGGAAATTATAGAGCTGCTACAAACATTCAAATGCAATATTTGGGGTGGTCATAAGTTTTCAGCTCATTTGGATAAGTACCAACTCACTTGGGCAAATGGGAGTACAATTGGTGGATTCTATGTTAAGACTATGTTTAGCTTTGTAAGAAGCTGCCAATCTGTCTTTTGAAGTGGCTGTGGCATTTTGCATTCCTACCAGTAACAAATGAGAGTTCTTGTTGCTCTACATCCTCACCAGCATTTAGTGTTGTCAGTGTTCTGATTTTCTAATTATTCTAATGGGGTAGAATAGTATCTCATTGTTTTAGTTTGTAATTCCCTGATGACATATGGTATTGAACATTTTTCATGTGGTTACTTGCCATCTATATGTCTTCTTTTGGTGAGGTGTTTATTCAGAGGTGTTAATTCAGGTCTTTTGCCCATATTTTCACTTGGGTTGTTTGCTTTCATATTGTTAAATATTAACACTTTACATATTTTGGACAGAACTTTTTTTTTTCTTTTTTTGAGGCAAGTTCTGTCTCTATAGCCCAGGCTGGAGTGTAGTGGTAGAAACTCAGCTCACTGCAACCTTCCAGGGCTCAAGCCATCCTCCCACCTAGGCCTCCTGAGTAGCTGGGACTATAGGTTCACAACACCACGCCTGGCTAATTTTCATTTTCTTTTTTTGTATTGTGGTGATGGGGTTTCACCATGTTGCCCAGGCTGATATTTTGGGTAATACGTCTTCTTCTTTTTTTTTTCTTTTTGTGACGGATTCTCGCTCTGTCATCCAGGCTGGAGCACAGTAGCGCAATCTTGGCTCACTGCAACCTCTGCCTCCTGGGTTCAAGCAATTCTCCTGCCTCAGCCTCCCGAGTAGCTGGAACTACAGGTATCTGCCACCACATCTGGCTAATTTTTGTATTTTTAGTAGAGACAGGGTTTTACCATATTTGCCAGGCTGGTCTTGACCTCCTGACCTTGTGATTTGCCTGCCTCAGCCTCCCAAAGTGCTGGGATTACAGGCTTGAGCCACAGTGCCTGGCCCCAGATAATACTTCTTAATCAGATATATTTGCAAATATTTTCTCCCTGACTGTGGCTTGCCTTTTTATTTTCTCAACAGTATATTTTGCCAAGCCAAAAAGTTCTTAGTTTTATTGAAGTCTCATCTATCAATTTTTTGTTCATGGATTGTGCTTTTGGTGTTGAATCTACAAATTCACCACTAAACACAAGGTCACCTAGGGTTTCTTCTGTTATCTTTCAGAAGTTTTATAGTTTTATATTTTACATTTAAGTCGATGATCCCACTTTGAGTTAATTTTTGTGAAAGGTGCAAAGTCTGTGTTAGATTAATTTTTTTCTTATTTTGCACGTGGATGTCCTGTTGTTCCAGAACCATTTGTTGAAAAGATTAGTCTTTCTCTATTGATTTGCCTTTGCTCCTTGTCAAAGATCAGTTGACTGTATTTATATAAGTTTATTGTTCTCTTTGTCTTTTCCTTCACAAATGCCACACCCTCTTGATCTTTATAGCTTTATAGTAACACTCAGTGCTGAATAGTGTCAGTCTTTCATCCCTGTTCTTTTTCAATATTATGTTGGCTATTCTGGGTCTTTTGTTTTTTCTTATAAACTTTATTTTTTTTTAATTATTTTTATTTTTTAACTTTTTCTCCGGAGAAATTTTCCTATACACTTTAGAATAAAATTATTAATATCCATAAAATAACTCACTGATATTTGAATGCAGATTGTGTTGAATCCATAGATAAAGTTTTCAGGAGGAACCAGTAGCATGAGGAATTTGAGCCTTCCTATCCATGAGCATGAAATAGCTGTTCCATCTATTTAGTGATTTGATTTCTTTCATCACAGTTTTGTAGTTATCCTTATATAGATCCTTAGATTTATACCTAAGTAATTTTTTGGTAAAAATATGAATGGTGTATTTTTGATTTCAAATTCCAGTTGTTCATTGCTGATATATAGGAAAGAAATTACATTTGTATACTAACTTTGTGTCATGAGACATTGCTATAATTACTTACTATAATAGTTCCAAGATAGTTTTTTGCTGTTGATTCTTTGGGCCTTCCTTTCTTCCTTCCTCCCTTCCCTTCTTCTTCCCTCCTTCCTCCCTCCCTCCCTTTCTTCCTTCCTTTTGACAATTTCACTCTTCTTGCCCAGGCTGGAATGCAAAGTCACAGTCTCAGCTCACTGCTACCTCCACCTCCCAGGTTCAAGAGATTCTCCTGTCTCAGCTTCCCCAGTAGCTGGGAATACAGGCATGCGCCACCATATCTGGCTAATTTTTGTATTTTTAGCAGAGACAGGGTTTCAGCATGTTGGCCAGGCTGGTCTTGAACTCCTGACCTCAAGTGGTACACCTGCCTCGGCCTTCCAAAGTGTTGGGATTACAGGCGTGAGCCACCTTGCCCAGCCTCTTTGGAATTTTCTACGTAATCACGTCATCTATGAACAAAGTTTTCCTTCTCAATCTGTTTACCTTTCTTCTTCTCCTTCTCTTCCTCCTCCTCTTTTTTCTTTTCTTTCTTCTTCTCCTTCTCCTTTTTTTTTGCCTTATTGCATTAGTGAGGACTTCCAGTACAATGTTGAATAGCAGTAGCGAGACAGAGAGGACTCCCTTGCCTTGTTCTTGATCTTAGGGAGAAAGAATCTAGTTTCCTAACAGTAAGCATGATGTTAGGTTAGTTATTTTGCATTTATCCTTTATGAAGTTGTGATCCAGTTCCCCTCTACTCCTAGTTTGTTGAGGTT